TGTTAATGACCAAACAGAAAGCTAAATCCAGAGGAGGGAAATCAGCCCAGTGTCATTTCACTGTGGTCACAGCCCATCATGTAGAAATTCTGCAAGCTCTTTTCTTGATACTTCATAATAATGTAATTTTCTCTGAAATAAAATCATGGGCCACATTCTAGTTAAGATATTAAATAATTAAACATATAACATATTCCTAGACATATTTTCCCTAATTTAACTATACTCACTCATCTAATTGTACTCACTCATTGCCATCTAGTCGAACCTGACTCATAGCGACCCCTCCTTAGGTTTCTGAAGCAGTATCACTACAGAAGTAGATTGCCCAGCCTTCCTTATGAGGAGTGGCTGGTGGCTCTGAACCACCAGCCTTCTGGTTAGCAGTCAAATGCCTTAGGCATTGTGCTAGCAGAGTTCCTAACTTAACTATATGCTTCAAAAAAAGAGTACTTTCAAGATTTTGCCCTGCTTTTCCAGTTGTACAAGCTAAAATGTAATTTGTAGTTTTCTCCATGAATATTCTATATACAAAAGGACAGATAAGTCTCAGTGTCCATCAAGCATACTACAGTAAGTTTTACTTTTATATCATCCCATGCTAAACCATTCACTCTATGAAAACAAGGATTGTTTACCTTGTTGAACTCTGAACCTTCAAATTCTAAATCACAGTGCCTCAGTTCAGCAGTTCTTAATAAATCGTAACTGAATGAATTGCCCCTCCTGGAAACTTTCCTCACCTCCCACTTGTAGCTTTCTTAGAGCTTAATTCAAGCCCCACATCCTCTTAAAAACTCTCCAATGTGGAAAACAGCTTAGTAGTTCCTCGACAAGTCAGACATGTGAGTACCATATGTATGGCCCAGCTATTCTGCTTCTGAAAGACTTGACAGGAGCATGCAAACAGATACTTGCATACTAATGTTCATTTCAGTATTAATTATAATAACCAAAGGTGGAAACAACCCAAGTGTCACAGTATTAATTATAATAACCAAAAGGTGGAAACAACCCAGGTGTCAATCAACTGATCAAAAATAAACATAATGGGATCTATACATACAATAGAATATGTATCAGTCATAAAGAGAAAGGAAGTTCTGATACATGTTATGACATGGATGAACTTTGAAAGCATGCTGAGTGAAATAAAGCAGGCACAAATATGATCTCAAATATGTGAAATATCTAGAATAAACAAGTGCACAGAGTCCAAAGTACATTAGTGGTTATCAGGGTTGGGGGTAGACAGGAATGGGCATTATTTCATGTTGTTGTTGTTGTTAGGTTCTGTCGAGTCATCTCTAACTCATAGCGACCCTATGTACAACAGAACGAAACAATGCCCACTCCTGTGCCAGGCTCACAGTTCTTGCTGTACTTGAGCCCATCATTGCAGCCACTCTGTCAATCCATCTTGTTGACCCTCTACTTTACTGAGTACATCCTTCTCCAGGGAATGGTCCCTTCTGACAACATGACCAAAGTAGGTGAGACAAAGTCTGGCCATTCTCACTTCCAAGGAGCATTCCAGCTGCACCATTATTTCATAATGGGTATTAAGTTTCTGTTTGGGGTGATGAAAATGTTTTGGAAATAGAGAGTGATGATGGTTGTATAACATGGTGAGTGTAATTAATGCCACTGAATTCTACACATAAATGATTAAAATAACAAATTTTATGTTATATATATTTTAACACAATAAAATGAAAAGAAAAACACAACTCTCCCTTATATTGGCACATTATTTAGTATAGTATATTACCAGGGAAGTACCTCAGCAACTTGCTTATGTGTTTTTCAGAAACTTTTGCCTTAAATGCATTTTCATTGTATTCCTATCACCCCCTAATTTATGTTCTGTTCATTTCTCTTATTCTTAACTACCCATCCCCAAACATATTTAATGCATTAGAAATATACATGTTATGTGTTCAGTTAACCATGAACAGTTGATTAATCATGGTTATATTCATTCACTCAACAAAGATTCGTTGAATTCCAGCTTTTTTCCTGGCATCATTCTAGAAATGGTCAACACAGCATTCAATAGACAAATATCTCTGTTCTCTTTGTTGTTGTTAGATGGCATTGAGTTGGTTCTGACTCCTAGTGTCCCCATGTACAACAGAATGAAATTTTTCCTGGTCCTGCACCATCCTCACAATCTTTGCTCTGTTTCAGCCACGGGGTCAGTCCATCTCATTGAGGGTCTTCCTCTTTTGGATTGACCCTCTACTTTACCAAGCATGATGTCTTTCTCCAGGGACTGTTCCCTCCTGATAACATGTCCAAAGTATGTGAGACCAAGTCTGGCTATCCTAGCTTCTAAGGAGGATTCTGGCTGTACTTCCTCTGAGACAGATTTCTTCATTCTTCAGGCAATCTATGGTATATTCAGTATTCTTTGCTGACACATAATTTAAATGCCTCATTTCTTCTTCAGTCTTCTTTATTCATTGTCCAGCTGTTACATGCATATGAGGTGACTGAAGATCCCATGGCTTGGGTCAGTTGCACCTTAGTCTTCAAAGTGATGCCTTTGCTCTTCAACACTTTAAAGATGGCTCTGGCAGCAGATTTTCCCATTGCAATGTGTCGTTTGATTTCTTGACTACTGCTTCCATGGGCATTGATTATGGATCCAAGTGAAATTAAATCTTTGACAGTTTCAACATTTTCTGTTTAGTATGCTATTGCTTACTGGTCCAGTTGTGAGTTTTGTTTTATTTATGTTGAAGTAGAATCCATACTGAAGGCTATAATCTTTGATGTTTATCAGTTAATGCTTCAAATCCTCTTCACATTCACCAAGCAAGGTTGTATTATCTGCAAATCACAGGTTGCTAATGAGTCTTCCTCCAATCCTGATGCTGCATTCTTCTTCTAGAGTCCTGCTTCTCAAATTATTTTCTCAGCATATAGATTGAATAAGTATGGTGACAGGATAAAACCCCAACACACAACTTTCCTGATTTTAAGCCATGCACTGTCCCCTTGTTCTGTTCGAATGACTGCCTCTTGATCTATATACAGGTTCTACAGGAGCACAATTAAGATCTGTTATTACTTATTATAATAATATTGGTTCTCTTATTACCTGCTGTAATAAGCTTAATAGCTCATTACCTACTGCCAAGACACAGACAAGCAAACAAATGAGTGAATGAATGAGGATGACAAGAATATTAGGTACTGATGAGTGCTGCGAAGAGTCTTATGTATGACAGTGACTGGAGATTGAAAGTAAACAAACATAAATTAATGCACAATTACGGCCTCTCAGAGGAGTTAACAATTGATATGAGACCTGCATGACAGTAGAAAACTGTTATGGAAATATCAAAAGAAGAATATTCATTCAGAGAACTGTTGGATAGGAATAATGTTGAGAAGCAGAAGGGTAAGTGTGGTTTAAGGGTAGTGAGGAAGAGGACTTCTGTTTAGAACTCTGGGATTTGAGATGCTGTTAAGAGGAGATGTAGCTATGTGAAGACATCCTGTAAACATATGAATTGAAATTTTGGTGATAGGCAAGATAAGAGGGAGTGTGGATGAATATAAAAATCAGCATTTGGTACTTATACCATGTAACTGGGTAAGATTAGAATCCAGTGGAACAGTGTAGCTATAGAAGTGGTGGAAACCCAGAATTGAGCACATAGACATATCAACATTTAAGAGTGAAACACAGAAATCCATTAGAGACCAAGGAGGAATTCCCATCAAAGTAAGAAGAAAATAATGTAAAAAACCTATTTCAAGAATGAGGAAATAGTTGACTGTGTTAAGTGTGCTGAGAGGTCTAGTAAAATTGGAATGGAAAATTGAATTAGCAATATGGGAGTCATTATTGTGGCTTATTTGTGAGTGGGTTGAGGAAAAAAAAAAGAAGTGGAGACAGCAAAAACTAACCATTTCAAAAGTTTTATTGGGAAAGGAAATGGAGAAATTGAAGCTTGAAGAAGATTGGAAGTTAAGGGAGGAATTTTTGGTTTGTTTTTCAAAGAGCTGCTAGAATATGTTTGTAAGGTAATAGGAATAACCAAGGAGAGAGGAACAGAGGAAGAAATTGGTGAGGCAGCAAGGAGACAGTTAAATTACAGAAGCAAAATCCTTGAAAAATTAAAAGGGGTTGGCTTCCAAAGCATAAGTGATACTTTTTAATAGGCCAGTAAGTGACCCTAAATATGAAGACTCTTCCCCAATATGGAAATGTTTACATGTTAAAATAGTAGAAAACTAAAGCAGGTCAGGAAGTAAATATATTAGGTGAAGTCACATGAATTTGTTATCTTTCAGTTACTTTAGACCAACAAAAACACCAGTTTTCTATAGTTCAACCTTGTTGTTGCTATGTGCTGTCGAGTCGGACTCGATCCATAGTGACCCCTCCTTGGGTTTCCGAGGCAGTATCGCTATGGAAGTAGATTGCACAACCTTCCTTCTGAGGAGTGGCTGGTAGGTTTGAACCGCCAGCCTTCTGGTTAGCAGTCAAATGCTTTAAGCTCTATGCTACTGTATAGTACACTATAATTACTACCATGATAAACTATACAGATAAAATAGCTCAGAATACGCAGATTGAAAATTGAAGATTTCCTTGCAAGTGTTTTTATTTTTCTTTCTTCTAAATTGTATGAAGCTGTTACAGAATTTTACAACAAATATAAGGAAAATGGTAAAGCTTTTTAAATGGAATATTGCTTATTTCAGCTCGAATTTAGTATTCAGTTCTTATGGATGCTGAGCAGAACAAAGACAGAAGTCAGATTCATTCCATTATTTGTAATCATTATAGTTCTAGTTGAGTGTGATCTGGACTAAGGGATCAAAACTTCTACTGCATACAATATTGTAAGATTCCTTTTCTTAAGCTTTTTGTTTCTTAATAATTCAGATCTAAAATTTTTAAATGAGTCCATGTAGTGTATAAAATTTATCTTTAAAAATGTTTCAGTTGACTTGAATATTTATATCTTCTTTTTCCCCAGGCTTATTTATATTTATCTTCCATTGTGCTATGAAAGAGAATGTTCAGAAACAGTGGAGGCGACATCTCTGCTGTGGGAGATTTCGGTTAGCGGACAACTCAGGTAAAGGAAATGCTGTTCATTTGTTGTTATATCTGAAAGTACTCTGAAGCTTGCCATGTAGTCTTTATTATTTGAGCAATGTAGTCCTGATGGTAGCGGGTTATAAAGTTGGAGCATATAACGATGCTTAATTGAAATCTTAGACTATTAGTAGTGTCAGAGATCTGAGGACTTTGAACCCAACTCTCCTGTTGTGCAAAGAAGAGACATGGATTCAGAATCGGTAAAGTGACGTCCCTCACAGCTTTATGTCTGATTTAACACCTCAGATTTCTAGAAGTTCCACTATGCCATACCTATGTTTTCAAAGTTTTGAGATCCTAAATTACATTATTAGGAGCTCTGGTAGCATAGTGGCTAAGGCACTTGACTGCTAACCAGATGGCTGGCGGTTCAAACCCATCAGCCACTCCTTGGAAGGAAGATGGGGCAATCTACTTCCGTAGTGATACTGCCTTGGAAACCCAAGGAGGGGTTGCTATGAGTCGGGTCCGACTTGACGGCACATAACAACAACAACAACAAGAAGTTACATTATTAGGCAGAGAGATTTATTATTTATTTGCTTGTCTTCAGTGGCTACTTTTTTTTTTTTTTTTTAACCGTTGTGGTTATTTTTTCACTATTCAAATGGGATTTTAAATAACATATACAGTGTCAAAGTAAGAAACTTGTTTCTACAGTTTATTATACTGTTTATGTGTCAGTTTCCTCTCTGAGCCCTTAGCAGCATATCAGAAAATCAGATGTTCCAGGTAAGTTATGTAAGTAATGCAGTGGTGTTCTTTCAACATGTAGAGCATATTCCCCATGAGGCAGATTGATGGAGAACTATGTCATTTCTTTCAGATTGGAGTAAAACAGCTACTAATATCATCAAGAAAAGTTCTGACAATCTAGGAAAATCTTTGTCTTCAAGCTCTATTGGTTCCAGTTCAACCTACCTTACATCCAAATCTAAATCCAGTTCTACCACCTATTTCAAGAGGAATAGCCACACTGGTGAGTCATTCAGGCCATAGAAAAGATGTTCTCTGATTCTAATTATATTTTCATTGGGAAAATTGGCAAATCATGAAGACTGATGGATCACGGTGCCCAATAGGGTGCTTATTTTAGATTTATGAAAATAAGTCTATTTTAAGACTTTATCCAGCACCTTTGTGAATATTTTGTCTATTTATTTTACAAACAAGTCTGTATCATCAACTCTGAATGTTACTGTAACATCATAATTTGATACCTAGCCCAAATATCTGCAAAAATCACAGTATTTTGTTTAAAATTTCTGTCTTTTTATTTTAAAAATGTGGAAATTGGGTGGCTAGTTTTTTTCAGCCTATGATGAAAGATACTTGACAATCCAATGTAGCAACAGGAAGAAACATGATCCAGGGCATATGTTACATTTCAAACTTACGTTCTTAACTGTTGGGTGGTATTATAGGCAGTTGGTCTTTAAATCCCTGATTAAACATGAAAGAATAGAGAGCATTCTATTTGGAAGGTGGTACAGACTATAAGAAGCAGGATTTGTTCCTCTCCTGTTTTCTCATGTTATTTACTGCGACCACAAGTTTTCACACTGAGCACATGTATGAATAATACTGCAGCAGCAAGGAAATAAATATATATGTTTTTAATAGTATTTGGTAGTCAGTGAGTGGTGTGAAAAAGTCTAATCTTTTAATAACTTTGAAGAGGAATAATAGAATCACTACTTTTAAATTCTAAATAAACTTCTGGCAAACAACTGTCTACATTTAGCATACAGCACTCTACTAATTAAAAACTTTTCCAAAATAAAAATATAAATTAAAAAAAAAAAAAACCTGACTATTATATATGAGCAGAGGTGAATGGCACAGAAAAGGTTAATATTTGATGCTTGGGAAATAGGGAGTGAGGGAGTGTGATGGGTAACATATCCATAAATGTCCAAACTGCAAACACTTAAGTTATAGATGACCTTCATGTACATTTGAATTCTTACACACAACCCACCTTGCACCACTTTCTCTCCTTTGCTATTGGAATAACCATTCCCCAGTATTCATAATGACACTGTGTGTATGTGGTGGAGGGAAGAAGTTTGATTATTTAGAGAGTTTATTACTCCTGAAATTAATTAAAGAAAGATCTGAAATTTGGAGCAGCTTAGGATAGCATTTCTTAAAGTTGCTTAGAGTCAAAGGTATTTTTTAGCTTTAATCTCTCTTACAGAATAAGGCATGGCCTTTGAGTCATGTACAAAAACAGTTTTGCCTAAAATGAAGAGGTCTATGTACCCTTGCTTAAGACACTGATATAAGAAAATTGATAACATATATTATTCTAATCTACAACAATCTGGGGTAGATTATTCTACATACTTGTTAGCTCTCTGACACAGCATATTCTTTTCTTAGAATACATAATTTTTTTATTTAATCAGTAAGATAAAATTTAAAGTTATATTCTCATTTTGACTCATTATCAGTCAAATACGAGTGAATAGGCATTAGACCAATTTAATTTTTTTTTCCCCCTTAATACAACTGAGACTAGCTAGCCTGAAGAAATGCTACTGTTAAGTGGGGGAGAGAAGATAACAAGGTAGATAAATTGGAATGTGGGAACTTTAGAACTATTAAGAAAAGAAAATTGGCTAGAAGACGAAAGAGGAGATGCAGAAATTGAGGAACCAAAGGTAAACTTCATTATTTCCAAAAAAAATTTAAGAATGTAAGATCATTTTTCTGTTTCCCATATAACGAACACTTGGGGTTAGATAGGTTCTTGTCAACTAACAGAAAAATATAGCCAGTTGTATGACTTTATTTCTATGGGATAATAAATTTTGGTTTCTCATCATCTAATTTACCAATGACCTTGTGGTACCTGGCCCATTCTCAGTGGGGCTGCTGGTATACTTGGAAGCACTTGAGGTATGCAAGAAAGCACTGCCGATCATCATGACTGTGTAGTTGACTTGTTTCTTGGAATTGATCTAGCCATTCATATGTTTATGGTGTAGATAATGTCTTCTAAGAGCATTCCTTCAACAAAAGTGGATCATCCAGGTAAACTTTCATTAACTTTTCGAATGCATGATTTTTTTTTTTTTTATTTGCAAGGTAAAGAGAATATTTGCATGGATTAAGCTAAGACTCTTGCTGCATCAGCAAACTTGCTTGTTCCTTAGGATATGTCTCAGCTGGCACAATGACATTCCTGTCCTGAACTGGAATTTCCAAATAGTATGTGTTCTGCTGGCTCTTGTTTGCATGGGGTGTCTGCAAGCCGCTCCTTCTAGGCAATGTACCATGCTCTAGAGTTAGTGGGGCGCATGTCTGGTTAAATCACAACAGGAAGCAGTATTTGAGAGAAGGTTCATTATAGAAAAAAATGAAATTCTCTGCTTTCACTGCTGTTATAGATTACTAGATATGTCATGGTACATTCATAGAAGTCATAAAAGAGAAATTCTCAATCCCAAGCCTGCTTGTTGAAGATTTTAATCTGCTTGAAATTTCAGCATAGTTCATTTCTCTAGCCCCTGGTTTTCCGCCTTCCAGCTAAAATCAAAATCATTATTACCCATCATTTAATGTTCAACGAGAAGACTTGGAATGCCATATATTTTGAAAGACAAAGTTCAGGCTTTTACTTTATTAGACTGTGAAGACTCATACAATTGGATCACATCTCTGGAATAGAGCTGGTCAAAACTCTCTGAAAGTATGTGTCCCTGGAAACTGTCCATGAAGATGAATGAATATACTCTTAACTTTCTCTGAGGATGTGTGTTTTTTTAAAAAAATATGAAGCATGAATTGTTCATTGTTAAGATTCAAGTCAGTAGAACAATTCCCAAAAGAAAACCAATGGCTAGTGAATACATGAACTTGAGGAAAACATAGCGTTGATCCTCATACTGGGAACCAAGTGGGAAGTGGTCTTTATGTTCTGACTCCCTGAGCCGCCTTCTCACCGGCACCGGGAGGTGATCATGTCTGCCCATTATTCCATGACACACTTCTTCCTTTAGTGCAGGATGAGAGCGCCATTTTCTATTTTACTCCTCCTTTTAATTACTGTTTACTCCAACAGAAGACAACAGCTGAACAATCGGAATAGCTCCCAAAGACAACAGATATAATGATGGATTTAACCAAAAATTGATGAAATTTTAATGTTACAACACAGACTAGGTCCAATTTACTCTAAACATAAAATGCCTGGATTGAATATTTCAATTTTGGAGCCATGGTTCCTTAAAGCAGCTTTTTGTAATAGAGTTTTCTGTCTCTTCTGTACTGCATAGACAATGACCGTGGAGGACTGAGTGCTTTGTAGAAGGTCACATTGTTTCCGTCATCACTGTGAAATCTCTGTAGTTAAACATAGGATAGAATTTTCATCCAAATGTTGGAAGAGGAAGAAAGGCAGGTACTTACAAGATGCTCTTACAGTACATGAAGACAACCATAGGTATTTATAATAGAACATAAGTGAATTTCAGAGCGCTCTCTGAACCAATTTTAGAAAGCTTTGAGGCCTAGAAAAATAGTCTTTAACTACATGACTTGATGGCACATAACAACAACAACAACAACACTGCAAAATTCAGGACAGAAGTTTATCATTTTATAAGAAGTCCATTATTCCAAACCCAAATCCACTGTCGAGACCATTCCGGTTCATAGCGACCTTATAGGGCAGAGTAGAAGTGCTCCATACAGGGTTTTCAAGGCTATAAATCTTTTTGGAAGCAGCCAGCCACATCTTTCTTCCACGGAGCAGCTGGTGGATTCAAATTGCCCCATTTTCACTTGGCAGCTGAGCACTTTAACCACTGTGCCACAGGGCACCTTAGTCCACTATTGCTATGTTTAAATTGCTCTGATATCATTGCCGTCTGCAGTAATATTATTCTGAGACTGTAGCATAGTTCATAAAATAAATAGTTTTATATGTAAAATGTTCTTAAAGAGAATTTTAATTTCTGCAATTAATAAAATAAATTTAAAAAGATGCCTTTTTGCTATATTCTTATCATTTCACACAGTAACAACTATGGTGGAATGTATCCAAATTAACCTTTTGTGTTTATTTTCATCCATTTTTATTCTCCAAAATCCTTCAAATTTCATTTTTACAGAAGTTTTTTTATTACGAAAGTGTCAAGCGCACATCAGAGTGGAGAATGGAGTAGTAAATCAATCAACATGTGCCCATCAGCTCCTATAAGCCCATCTCCTTCTTCCCTTCCCTTTATTATTTTGAAAACATATCTCAGACATTATTTCATCCTTAAATAGTTGATCATATTTAATTCATTTGTTCTCTAATCTGTCACCTCTTCTCTTGAGCCATTTGTGACATATAGTTAGAAGCAATTTTCTGATTTTCAAAAATTCATTGATTCTGAAAATATGCACAGACAAGAACATTTCTTAAAACAAACTCCAACATAAATTACTAGTGGGCATATTAATGTCCAGTGAATATTAGGTGTGCACTTTGAAGATGAAGAACATGAACTTTTCATGCTGCATATAACCAACCTAAGAAAGAGCCAGAGCTTTGTTTCCTTTGTGTACTTCTTTAATGGAAAAATTAAAGTGTCCAGTGTGTTTGCGCTAGGCGTGTCATCAGCTCATCTTGTGGCCTAATTTTTTGTATCCTTTCTTGCAGACAGTGCATCCATGGATAAGTCCTCATCAAAACTGACCCATGTTGATGGAGAACAAACATCAATCATCCCTGTCCATCAGGTCATTGATAAGGTCAAGGATTATTGCAATGCTCATTCAGATAACTTCTATAAAAATATTATCATGTCAGATACCTTCAGCCACAGCACAAAGTTTTAATGTCTTTAAAGAAAAGGAATTCATCTGTAAAAATGTGGAGATATGCATGCAATGATAAAACAATGGGCAGATGTAAATGTGCTATTACCTAAGTAATTGCATATATATGAGGAATATTTTTGTTAAGAAGGCTTTTGTGAAAGGCAGAATTACCCTCCTCAGTGTATTTCTTCCATGGGGAAGTATTTCACCATGTCTGAAACCCTCATACAGACAGAAATGTGATGCAATAGCTACAAAGAATATGACTTTTGGAAAACCTGTGTATATAGTCAAATCAGACCAATCAGAACCCAGAGAGGAAACATTCCAATCAGAGGATAAGGTAGAGGAGAAGATAAAGACCGACTCTAGTTTAGAGCTCATTCACCCCCCACCTAATAACTAAGTTTGCATGTAGTGTTTTTTCCATCATCTTTCTTAACAATTAAAAAACACACTAATATTCATAACTATTTTAGATATCCACAAGTCCTATCCCAGTACCACTTTCTATTAATGCAGTAGCATTTTCTTTCTTTTTTTTTACCCCCCCCCCAAGGAAATTTCAACCACCCATGGAAAAGAATGTTTAATGTCTGATCCAAATATTAAAAAGATTTTTTTTTTTTTTGGTCATTAAATGCTGAACATTCTGAACCATAATATGCTTAAGAAAGAAACATTTTCCAGAATCTTGGCCTGGTGAAAAGGAGCTGAAATAAATTTCTAGTATTTCACTGACCCTATTTATGCCTTTAAAGATATCTAAGACACCAGACTTAGGAATCATCATTAATTGCAGTTTGATCCCATACCCTTGAGTTAAGTTTAGTGTTGCTGTTCCATCAATGTGGCCCTTCCCAGTAGTTGGTTAAGAAGGAATCTGTTCTGCCTGTGCTTTAGCCCCTTTGATGTATGCTGAGCCTGCAGGCTCCTGGGAGGGAGGAGAATTTCCATCAGACATGCCCTGCCCTGTACTATACTCTTCTCCTTTTAGGAGACAGAGTCATTGAGGCTTTATGGCCCTGCCCTTGCTAAAAAACTTCCAATCACATACATAAAAAACTTCTTCCTTCCCTTTGTAAGAGTTTTATTCCTTGGAATATAAACTGAGACATGTAGGTGATAATATAATCAAAAGAAGTCATAAACATGTGGTCTCCGATTACTCTTCTAAAAATGGTTGTTCATAAGTCCTCCAAATATGTAAGAGCCTGAAGAAGTCTGGCTAGATAGATGGTGTGCTGTTAAGGATTACACGGCTGCGTACAAGCCATGAATAATATTAAGCAGCTTACTTAGCTCTCAAACTATCCTAAGTAATGCATGTTTGCTACTGAATGTATAGGAGACCACATACTAATTTTTCTTAACTGATGGTGTTATATTCAATTTCTGACAAATCGGTATCAGTAGAAGCTCTACATCTGCTCTGGGAAACACCAGGTTCTCAGAGGTGGCAGCGTAAGTGATGACAAAATGCCACATTCTGGCCAAGCCAGTCTCCTTAAAGGCAGAAGGCAGAGCTCAGCACCTAGAGGCCTTTCCCTCTGCACAGAAGGTTCCCAGTATGAGATCTGCGAGAGCTTCCAGGCTATGCAGCAAGTCACGGGCCTCACTTTTCCATCCTGAAGCTGTTTGTCGAGCTTGGAGGCATGAGGAGATGATGTGGTGGTGGGTTTTTATTACCATTCCAATTTGCAGTGGTCTAGAACACCATCATGGAAGACATGAGCACTGTTCAGCATGGCTTTCACAGGAGAGGGGTGCATTCAGGAGAAGAGGATAGTAAAACTTAAAGTTTCTAAGATTTCCTATAAAAAAAAAAAAAAAAAAAAAAAACCTCACTTGCCATCGAGTTGGTTCCGACTCATAGCGACCCCTCCTTGGGTTTCTGAGGCAGTATCTCTACAGAAGTAGATTGCCCAACCTTTTCTCTGAGGCCGGCTGGTGGGTTTGAACTACCAGCCTTCTGGTTAGTAGTCAAATTCCTTAGTCACTACACCACCAGAGCTCCCCTCTAGTAGAGTCGAAACCTTTGCTATAAGCATATATTAACAGACTACTTATTGTGGCAGAGGTTACATATAGATAAAAATTAACCTTAACTATTCACTGACTATTCATATACTTTCCCCCAAACCTTAGAGATACATGATAGAATTTAATTAGCTTTCTACTGGGAAATGTATGCCCAAAGTGCCTACTTAGTTAATAGTGGGAAAGGCAAAAAGATTGCTTTGCTTGGTTTCTAATCAGACTCAGATCTGGGAAAACATTTTTTTCTTTTCACATTGAACAACAATATCAGTTCAACTTTAGAAATTTTCAGTAACCAGGTGAAGATCAGCTAAACAGAAACATTCGCAAATGGATGTAAAAGATAACCAAATTCTACCGTCAGGTCCAAATAAGCAGCTCTCATCTACATTTAGGGCATGTAGTTAGCGGGGGAGCCAAAATTTAGTTTAACCTAACTTTAAGAATAATTGCAATTCAGAGACTCCTCTGGCCTCTGTTTTTCTTTTTTCCTCTTTTTAACCTACATGGTGTTAGAATCTTAGTCTAGGATCCTGAGATTTTTTTTTTTCCTTTCCTGGTACCATGGGCTTGCAATGTAGATTTTCTTTGACCATTACTGGCATAAACTCTTTTGTACATATTTATTTATTTTTGTTTATAGTGTCAACTTGTTTCAGATCTCAGCTTTATATCAACTGCTTTGTTATTTTAATAACTTTCTACTGGAGAGACTGTATATATTTTTCTAAGTACTTTGTGAAATAGTTTTCTGTAGCAAAATCTTTGGCGTGATGAATAAAAAATGACTGTGAGTGCAAATTAGAATGAGTAGTAAGAAGCTACTGTAGCTCATTTGCCATTTAACTTAAATGGAAAATGTTTTTCAAATAAATACTTCTGTTGTTCGTGTTCCAAATTATTAAATTCCTTTATGAGTGAATGTTTTTATTTCTGAGTCTTCAATAGGAAAAGATTATTTGACTACTGGAAAATAACTCGCCACCAATTAAATTAGTGACATGGGACCGCTTTGCCAAGACACTAGGGATAAATATATTACAAAGATCCAGTTCACTGGGAATTAATGCATTTTGAGGTTTTTATGTTTTCTTAATGTTGCTGATGCAATGCCAAGCTCTGTGGCAGATTAAAAGTAGTGCAGGTGTCTTTTTTGGAAAGTCTTCAGCATCCAAAAAAAGGAACCAAGTCAGTAACATAATGTAGAAATTAGGACCTGGGATGTTTTCCTCACATTTATGGTGGCTGTTGTGGCATAGTGCCTAAGGCATTTGACTGCTAACCAGAAGGCTGGCGACTCAGACCCACCAGCCTCTCCTTGGAAGGAAGATTGGGTAATCTACTTCCGTAGAGATACCAGCTTGGAAGCCCAAGGAGGGGTCGCTATGAGTCGGGATCAGCTTGATGGCAGTGAATTACTCTCATTGTCACACACTTGGAACCGATAGCATTTAGCCAAATCCATTTGCTTGATTAGAACAGAACCTCCCCCACTTCTTTTTATTGTGCTTATTTAGGATAATTCTTCAGAAAGCCAATGCCCAATTTTTCTCCCAACCCCAATCAGCAAAGTGCATGCCCAGGACTAAATTGTGAGGCACTTTGGCCCAGCACTGCTGTGTAGGTCCCCTGAGCCAACCTCCACAACTCCTGGCCAAGCCATGTTAAGAAAACAGACTGGCAGTTGCTTAAGGCTCATCTACAGTAAGAAGCTACCATAGCTGATTAGCCATTTAACTTAAATGGAAAATGTTTTCCATTTAAATAATTTATAAATAAATACTTATGTGGTTTGTGTTCCAAATTATTAAATTCCTTGAGGAGTACATGTTTTTATTTCTGACTCTTCAATAGGAAGAGTGTGTTCAGGCAGGTATGGGAGTGGCCATGGGGGGTAGTTGGGAAACAATTGTTTGATCTGCAGACTGACATGTATTTATGGGAGCACTGGTAGCATATTGCCTGAGGCATTTGACTACTAACCAGAAGGCTGGCAGTTCAAATCTATCAGCCACTCCTCAGAAAGAAGGTTGGGCAATCTACTTCCAGAGTGATACAGTCTCAGAAACACATGTATTTATAGTGTTTCTGAAATCTGAAGGAATTGGGCTTTATCAATAGAGTCTTGGAAGCACTTTTGCATTTTCAGTTGAATAGCATTCCACTTCTCTCATAAAAGCATCTGATCTATCATCCTCTCTGTCCCCTCTGCCCTCCCTACCTCAACCTTTTCTCACTCCTCACCTCTCTCCTTCTGACCCTTCTTTGCTCTCTCTTTCCTCCCCCTCCCTCTTTATTTCTAGGAATATTAGAGTAACATGTCTTTTTCTGCTTCCCTAGAGAAAAATAAGAATTCATGTGAATTATTCAAATGTTTGCATTTAAGTTCTATAACCCATTACTGTTGAATCAATTCTGATCAGCTTGTCTTAAAAAAAAAAAAAAAAAAAAAGACATGATGTGTAATATGTTGTTGTTTCTATGTGCTGTCAGGTGGGACCTGACTTGTAGTGACCCCTCCTTGGGTTTCCGAGGCGGTATCACTACGGAAGTAAATTGGCCAACCTTCCTTCTGAGGAGTGGCTGTTGGGTTTGAACCGTTAGCCTTCTGGTTAGCAGTCAAGTGCCTTAGGCACTATACTGCCACTCAGGCACTAGGAAGACATAAGTGTCCAGGCAGAGAAGGAATCCTATGCAAGTTGGGCTTCACAAAGGTGACTCCAACAGGGTAATCAGAAAGACGGGGGACTGATTCGGGCAGGAAATTTTGTTGTTAGGTGCCATCAAGTCGGTTCCAACTCGTAGGACCCCAACGCTATGAGAATGAACAGAACGAAACCCTGCCCAGTCCTCCACCATCCTCACAATCCTTCCTTTGCTTGAGCCCAACATCGCAGCCACTGTGTCAAGCCATCTTGTTGAGGGCCTTCCCTTTTTTACGGAACTTTTACTTTACCAAGCATGATATCCTTCTCCAG